CAGCTACTGCCCCCGACCACTGTCACTGCCCCCCGTCAAGTTCCCCCGTCTCACCAGGTTGCCGTGTCTCACCAAGTAGCTTGTGTCTGGTCAGGTTCCCGTGTCTGGTCCAGTTGCTGCGTCTTGCTCCTGCCGGTCACTTGCTCATCCCACCGTTCTGTGGCACCACCGCTTGGGGCACCCGTCCATTCCTCGCCTGCGCGCTTTATCTAGTCAGCGTCTTGTCTTAGGCCTCCCGCGAGTCTTGCCGTCGCTGCTGCCTTCGCTTGCACCACCTTGCGGTCCCTGCGTCGTGGGTCGGCTGCGCGCCACCCCTCACTCCTCCTCCCTTCGTCCGGCCACCGAGCCCTTCGAGACTCTCCACTTGGACGTCTGGGGCCCCGCCGCTCGCCCTGGCCCTGAGCGAGAGAGTTTATTTCTGGTGGTCGTTGACGACTACTCCCGCTACACCACAGTGTTCCCCATGGCGAAGAAGTCCCAGGTGACTTCTACGCTGATCCGGTGGTTACTTACCACTGCGGACACTCGTGGTCGTCTGTCAGCTGTCTTCACTCCGACCGCGGGGGTGAGTTTCGCTCCGGCGATCTCGCTGGATTTTGTCGCGAGCAGGGCATTCCTCAGTCCTGGACGCTTCCAGAGTCCCCACAGCAGAATGGGGTTGCTGAGCGCCGCATAGGCTTGGTCATGGAGATTGCCCGCAGCTCCTTGACTCACGCCCGTGCCCCCCATTTTCTGTGGCCCTACGCGGTTCAGTACGCCGCTCACCAGCTGAACCTATGGCCCCGTGTCTCTCAGCCAGAGGTTTCACCGACCAGTCTTTGGACCGGGTCCCCTGGTGCTGCGTCGCGTTTTCGTGTCTAGGGTTGCTTGGCACTTGTTCGCGACACCTCTGCGGACAAAATCTCGCCTTGCGCCATTCCCTGTGTCTTCCTTGGTTTCCCAGAGGACTTCTCTGACTTCACCTTTTACCACCCTCCCCTTCACCGGTTCTTTGACTCCCGTGACGTTCGTTTCGACGAGTCCGTCCCCTACTACGTCCGGTACCCTTGTCGAGGTCTCCCGGTTCCCCCTCCCCCTCTCTTCTTGACTTCAGCTCCCCCTCCTGCTTCCCCGGTACAGCCTCCCCCCCCTGGTCCAGCCCCGTCAGGTGTGTCCCACGCTACCCCTCCCCCCTCGGTAGCCCCTCAGGTGCAGCCTCCTTCCCCGCAGTCCTCCTCACAGCCTACTGCAGACCCTGCGGGAGCCGGTGTTCGTGGCGAGGACCCTGGAGGTGCTAGCTATAGAGGAGTTGGAGTTGGAGCTGAGAGCGTACCTGTGCGAGGTCCTGGTTCTGGGGGTGCTGGAGTTGAGGCTGAGCCCGTGCCTGCAGGAGCCTCTAGTCCTCGGGGAGCTAGTGTTAGTCGAGCTGTCCCTGGGGGTGCTACGACTGAGGGTGCGGGTGCACCCACTGCGGGACCTGGAGAGTCTGGGACTGGCCGCGTTGCTGCTGGTGGTGCTGACTGTGGGGGTGGTGCGGCTGGTGCTTTGGAGGGCGGTCCTGGGGCTACCTCCGCCCCGGACACTACTCCTCCCCCCCACCCCTACCGAACCTGGCTCCAGGCCCGTGTTCGCCGTGCACGTGAGGAGCAGCTGGAGTTGGAGCGAGAGGAGAGAGAGTTGGAGCGGCAGCAGCTAGAGCTACAGAAGCTGGAGGAGCGGCAGCAGCAGCAGCAGGTGCAGCAGCTGCAGCAGTAGCCGCAGCAGCAGCCGCCGCAGCAGGAGCAGGAGCAGCAGCAGCAGCAGCAGCAGCCGCGGCAGGAGCATCCGCAGCGGCAGCCGCCGCAGCAGGAGCAGCAGGAGCAGCAGCAACAGTAGCCGCCACCTCCGCCTCCTGTCTCTAGTCTTCGGACCCTCGGTCTCCCCTCTCCTTCTCCTCCCCCCTCCCCCTCTCCCCCTGTCTACGGTCCCACGTTTCCTCCTCCTAACTCCGCCCCAGCTATTTTCCCCCGTTCTCAGCCTCCGTTGTCCCCTCCTCTTTCTCACGCTTGGACTTTTCGTTCTCCTCGTGCTCGTCCCTCGTCCCTGTCCCTCTCATTGACCTTTGTACTGTCCTGTTCCGTCCTGTCCGCCTCCTTCGTCGCCGTCTGTGCTTCCTTCTCCCCCTTAGTCAGCCCTCACTGCTTCCCTCTCTACTCCTGTCACTGACTACTACCGCGCGTTCCGTCCTGTTCTCTCTCGTGTTCTTGCCTCTTGGTACCGACCCCCGTGCTTCGCTGTCCTCTGTCTCCGCTCTTACTGCCGCAGTCACTGAGTTTGCCTCTACTCGCCGCCTTGACTACGCCAGTAGTCTTGTGGCTGCTCCTCCTACTAGTCCTCTGGCCGTTGGGGGTGGGTCTGCCCTTGGCTGTGACGCCCTAGAGGACAGGCAGTTTCAGCTAGAGTTCCTGGCAGCCGCTCCCCCTCATCTCTGTGCCATGCTGCTCGCCCCTGAGGGAGACCCCGACGCCCTTGACATACCTACTCCTTGCACTTACGCTGAGGCAGTGTCAGGGCCTTGGGCCTCTCAGTGGAGAGCTGCCATGGATTCAGAGATGGCCTCCTACAGATCCACAGGGTGAAGCGGCCACCGGGATCTCCTCTGGTCTTCAAGGCGCGCTATGTGGCTAGAGGTTTCAGTCAGCGCGAGGGAGTTGACTTCTTTCAGACCTTCGCGCCTACCCCGAAGATGACCACTCTTCGGGTGTTACTGCACGTAGCAGCACAGAGAGACTACGAGCTACACTCTCTCGACTTCTCCACTGCCTTCCTTCAGGGTAGCCTACACAAGGAGGTCTGGTTGCGTCGTCCCTCTGCCTTTACTGGCACTTTCCCTCCTGGGACCCAGTGGAGGCTGAGGCGACCGGTCTACGGTCTCCGTCAGGCTCCTCGTGAGTGGCACGACACCCTTCGTTCTACCCTGTCTGACCTCGGTTTCCAGCCGTCTTCTGCCGACCCGTCGCTGTTTGTTCGTCGTGGCTCCACACCGTTCTTTGTACTGGTCTACGTCGACGACCTGGTTTTCGCCACTGCTGACAGGGTTGCTTTGGCTGACGTGAAGCGCGAACTGGAGAAGAGACACACGTGCACTGAACTTGGTGAGTTGCGCCACTACCTTGGCCTGCAGATCACCAGGGACAGAGCCGCTCGCACCATTACACTCTCACAGTCACACATGGTGCAGCAGGTCCTTCAGCGGTTCGAGCTTCAGCACTCCACAGTACAGCGCATACCTCTTGCAGTTGACCACATACTCACTGGACCCTTTCTTGCTCACCGACCTTGGTGAGCGGCCGAGCTCTGCACCGACCTTGTTCACTGACAACAAGGCGTCGATTCTCCTCTGTCGAGAGCCGCAACTGGAGAGCCGAGTGAAGCACATCAATGTCAGGTACTTTCTTCTGCGAGAGTTGCAGAGGCGTGGACAGGCTCGCTTCGACTTTGTGGAGTCCGAGGCCAACACTGCAGACATCTTCACCAAGGCCCTTCCGCCTTGTGACCACCAGAGGTGTTGTGCGCAGTTAAGTCTCGTTGACACAGGTTCTCGCCTTGCGTAGTCTTGAGTTCTCTACTTGCTTTGCTTGTACGCTTTACATATACCTTTGTGAACTCTTAAACTGGCCTTGTGGCTCTTTTGCTTGTGCTCAGAGTGTGTGGTGACATTGTGATCCACCCTGAGCTTTGTTGCTTTGTGACTGGTATTGTGACCGTACGTTGTTGGTTTTGCTTGACACCCCTCACTTAGGCTATGGGGGTGTGTCAGATGTTATAGTCTTAGTGATGTGTGTCATATGGGGCACAACAGTTAGGGTTAGGTTTATGTACCCCAACCAACCTTAGTGAAATGACAATTTCGTGAAATGTGCCAGGAGATGCGCACTGTGAAGGCGTACGGGCTCAGGGTGGTCGCTCCAGATGATTCCCTGCTGGAGGTGATTGTCACGGGGGGCAAGGGAGGAGTGAGGAGCGGCAGCAAGGGCCGGGCTGAGGGGGACAGTGTAACAATCTCGGTTACCACAGCCCCCTGTGTTCCTAGAATGGAGATTGACTGCGACAGTGACATGGCCTGTTAAGCATCGCCCTTGCTGCAACGTGCTGCGCCTCCCTTGCTTTGGGGAATAAGGTAGAGAGTGGATAGTGGATAGTGGCATGGGGTGAGAGAGGGGTAAGTTGGTGGAGAGGGGGGGGGTTGGGGACATGACTGTGAGAGGGCAGGGAGGGAGAAAGAGGGTGTGGGTTGGGGGGCTAGTGTGATGAGCATGCAATATATACCAAGAACTAGGGCCCTCTCTTGGTACCCATTGCATGCTCATGATGCTCGTGTGCTGCTCATACCCTATACCCTGTGTTTGCCTAGATACGGTACGGTACCTTGTTTTGTGATTTTTGTGTTTTTGTTTTTTGTCACCTGTGATTGCTTGCTGTAAGCTACATTTACCGATACCTGGGCTTGTTTTTATTTTTACTATTATTATTACTGCTTAAAAGCTATAGAAACGTCTTAGAAGCTAAGTAGGATGTTTTTGATTACCGTATAGTGCCGGCTATAAGACACGGGGGACTCTCTACAAATGCATGAATATATGCTAGGGTGGACATTATGGTGGCAGCAATTTTTGAAGACCCGGGGTACACCTATTTGTCTATTAACATTAATGGAGGCGAACTTCAATGCACGAGGGCGGATTGAACGCCTTTATTCACACACTGCACATCATCTTGACGGAACCGACCGTCAAGATGGCCACGTCATGGGGCCCATGGGGCCCATCTTGTCATAGTACCAGCAGAGGCACTGGACGTGATGCACTAGGGTTTCACGTCTCTAAGTCTGCCGAGCACGGGAGGCCGCAAGCTTCGTTCCTCTCTGTTCCCTGTCTCAGATCCAGATCTGCCACTCTAGCTTTCTTCACGTGTACAAAGCACGCTATGGGGACTGCCACTCCAGCAACCAGGTGCCATTAGAACCGTAGCAGCTTTTAACAATGTCCGTTTTCGAGAGCCCATGGCGTTCGCGCCGTTCAAGCTTAGGCAGTTCGTCTGGCCAGCCAGCTATCGTGCTCATCACAAGCCCGGCCCCGCCAGCTCCACCTGCACCTCCCGCACCTCCGCCCCCCCCTGCTCCTCCTGCGCCTCCTGCGCCCTCTGTGCTTCCTCCGACCTTGATCGACTGGCGCACCAACCCTCCGTTAGATCCGGTCGAGGACGAGGGGTTTCCCGAGCCCGAACCCGAGGATGAGGAGAACGAGGCGACGGAGGAGATGGACGACGACGTCGGGGCGTTCCCGGTCCCGACGTTTCCTAAGGATCTCATCCACGACGAGAACGTGCAGAGATCCAGAGCCGACGGTGCGCCATCGAGTCCCCGTGCAGGCAAGACTACACACAGTCGCAAGGCGCGAACGATGGGAGAGAAACAGGACTGGCTCGCGCGGATGGAGGCGGAGAAACTCTACGTCCGCCACACCGCACGTCTGGCGGGGGTGCAGCCAGTCAGCGTCCGCCGGTGGATCAAGGCGGTAGAGCTGATTAAGAAAGCGGCACCGTCCAAGCGCCGCCTCAGTGGGGGTGGAAGGAAGGCTTAGTACGCCGACATGGAGGCGCATACCTACAAAAGGCTGCTTCACTTCCGCGGCCGTGGCTTGGCCGTGCCTATTCGGCTCGTCAAGCACTGGAACCGGTGCTACATGAAGACCCATTATCCGGACGTGGGGTGGATGACGTCCAATAGGTGGACCTTCCGCTTCCGCGCGCGCTTGGGCCTCTCCATCCGCGTGAAGACGAAGTTGGGCCAGCGTCTTGCTAAATGTTAGTCTTTCTTGAAATCCGCGTCCGCTTGGTGCTTCCATACATTGCTCGAAGGCATGTGACATTAATCTCTTACCCACTGCCGTTACTCATGCTCACTATCGGGATGTGTGCGTTCGTGGCAGAGTGCAAGCCGAAGTGCTTGAAGTTTTGGGCGTTCACACGGAAGAACATCATCAAGCATGGCATCGACTCATGGAACATCGTAAACGCCGACCAAACTCCGGTGTTCTTGGAGATGGTGAGAAGACGGTGCACGTCAGGAGCGCGGGCTATGAGAAGGAGAGGGTGACGGTGATGCTCGGCATCACCGCGGACGGCCGCAAGCTCTCTGCCATGGTTATCTTCAAGCGCAAGACTATCCCGAAGATTCGGGTCCCTGCAGGTGAGTTTCTCTCGATTCACGCTTCAGTTTCGTCCGTGATTGTGGCGGATTTACAACCACGACTGTCGTTTCTTGTGCAGGAGTCGTCATCCGTGCACAGGCAAAGGGATGGATGGATGCCAAGCTTGTGGATGATTGGGTGAACAACATCCTGCTGCCCTTCATCAAGCCTCCGCGCGGCATCCAACGGTCCAAGACCCTTCTGGTCCTGGACTCGTACCGGGGCCACCTCACTGATGTCGTGCTCACCAACCTGAAGTGGAACCGGGTAATCCCGGCCATCATCCCCGGGGGCTGCACCCCACTGCTGCAGCCCCTTCACGTGAGCGTCAACCGCTCGCTCAAGGCGCTGCTGCGTGAGATGTACAAAGACTCGTTTGCCGAGATCGGCATCAACACCTTCACGAAGGCCGGTGAGTTGGTTTGTCGCCCTAAACCTGTCGCTCCCCGTGTGCATGTTATATCCCGTGCGTAGATAATTTCCTGTGTGCCCCCCGTGCATCTTATTTCCCGTGTGCGTCGCAGGCAACCTGAAGAAGCCTTCTGCGGATTTGGTGCTGAAGTGGATTGCGGCCGCTTGGGCGGCCGTCCCTGAGCACATCATCGACAAGGCTTTTGTCACCACCGGCATCAGCAACTCTGTCGATGGGAACCAGGATCACCTCCTCCTGGCCCACACGCGAGATGCGGGCAAGTTTGAGGTGGCACAAGACGTGCACGTCGCCCATGAGGTTGAGGAGTGGGTAAACCCCTTGTTTGCCACCGCCGCAGAGGATGAGGAGGCGGCAAAGGCGGCGGATGCAGAGGATGCCGGGGACCTGCCTGAGGAGGAAGAGGAGGAGGAGGAGGAGGAGGAGGAGGAGGAGGAGGAGGAGGAGGAGGAGGAGCAGGAGGAGGAGGATGAGGCGGAGGAGGAGGATGAGGTGGAGGACGAGGAGGAGGATGACGAAGAGGAGGAGGAGGGTGGGCTGGAGGAGGACGCGGACGAAGAGTGAGGAGTAGGGGAGTGGTAGAGATGTTTGGGCCAGTAAAATAGAGTGTCTAATGGTGCAGTAGCCACCTTGACCTTGTAATGCCTGGATCTAGTGACAAGGAAGTGAAGAGATGTGTGTGTAGGTTTAACAGTTACGGTAAGTTCATCAGATTGGATATGGCACTTAGGGGAAGGGGAGGGGGGGTCTTATGATGATTAGGGGCAAAGGGGGGTTCCTCACAAAACCTATCACAATAAGAGTCCCCCTACCCATTCAAGAGTCCCGGGGGACCTTCTTACCGGCGGGTCTTATAGCCGGCACTATACGGTAGGTCAAGGGGAGCGGTACAAGCAATTTTTGTACCCCCTAACATGCAACTCACTACATCCTATCTAGTAACACAAACATAGTTTGACACACCCCCATAGTCTAAGTGAGGGGCATCAATACAACCAAGACAAGCATGTGGTCACAAGACCAGTCAAGAGAAAGAAGACAGCAAGCTCAGGGTGGATCACTAAGCCACCACACATTCTGAGCACAAGCAAGGGGCCACAAGGAAAGTTCAAGATTTCACATATATATAAATATATAAGTACAGCAAGAAACAAGGTGCGTGACTACATCAACGGAGGGCCTACCTCAACAAGCCATAGCTGCAGACAAAACCAGTGCTGGTCACCAGGCGGAAGGGCCTTGGTGAAGATGTCTGCAGTGTTGGCCGCTGATGCCACAAAAACCTAGCGTGCATGGCCGCGTCGCTGCAACTCTCGCAAGAAAAAGTACCTCACGTCGGTATGCTTCACTCTGCTCTCCAGTCGAGGCTCTCGACACAGGAGGATCATGGCCTTGTTGTCAGCGAACAAGCTCGGTGCAGAGCTCGACCGCTCATGAAGGTTGGTGAGTAAGAAGGTCAACCAGCGCAGCTCCTGCGCAGCCATGGCACCAGCGTAAACCTCTGCCTCTGCGCTAGACTGTGCCAGAGACGACGACCGAGTAGACCTCCACAAAACAGCTCCAGCGCCCAAGTTGAAGCAATACCCCTGGGTAGACCGCTGGGTCTAAACGTCGTCGACGTAGGAAGAGTCGCAGTGACTGGTTATCATAACTGGCTCTGTCCCTCCAAGCACAAGCCCCATGCCTGATGTAGTCGCCAGGTACTTCGCCACCCTCACAGCTGCCGTCCAATGAACAGGTTGGTGTCTCCAGCAGCCGTCCAAAGAACAGGTTGGTGTCTCCCAGTCGTTACAAAGCGAGAAAGGACGCTGAGGGGAAAGGCGAGGTCCGGTCGAGTACAAGTCATCAGGTACATGAGGCAGCCCACAAGCTCTGCGTAGGGACCACTAGACTCAAAGGGCTCGTCGAGAAAAGGGCCGGTGAGTCTGTGGTCAACAGCAAGAGAAGTGGGCTGTGTTGTGGTGAAATTTGAACCGCCAAAGGACCTGCTCCACCATGTGTGACTGAGTCAGAGTGATGGTGCAAGAGGCTCTGTCCCTGGTAACCTGCAAGCCAAGGTAGTGGCGCTGTTCACCCAGGTCAGTGCACGTGTGTCTCTTTTGCAGTTCGGACTTCACCTCAGCCAGAGCAACCGTGTCAGCCGTAGCGAAGACCAAGTCGTCGACGTAGACAAGGACGCAAAATGGGGTGGGCCAAGTACGAACGAACTGTGACAGGTCAGCGGACGAAGCACGGAACCCAAGGTCAGCAAGTGTGGAGCGAAGTGTGTCGTTCCAGTCACGGGGCGCGTGGCGGAGACTGCAGACTGGTCGCCTCAGGCGGGAAAGTGCCAGTGAAGCCAGGAGGATGGCGCAACCAGTTCTCCTCGTGCAGGCGGCCCTGGAGAAAGGCAGTGGAGAAGTCGAGGGAGTGCAGCTCGTAGTCTCGATGTGCTGCAACGTGAAGTAACACCCGAAGAGTAGTCATCTTCGGGGTCGGGGCGAAGGTATGGAAGAAGTCAACTTTCTCACGCTGACTGAAGCCTCTAGCCATGTAGCGCGTCTTCAAGACATGCGGTGATCCATGCGGTCTCTCCACCTTGAAGATCCACATGCCATCGACCACGTTCGCCCCAGATGGGGGAACTGCGTCGACGTAAGTGCATGTGGATCTCCAAGACGCCATCTCTGAGTCCATGGCTGCTATCCATTAAGAGGCCCACTGCCCTGACACTGCCTCACGGTACGTGCGAGGAGTCCATATGTCAAGGGCGTCGGGGTCTCCCTCAGGGGCTAGCAGCATGACACAGAGAGAGGGAGAAGCGGCTGCGAGGAATTCCAGCTCAAACTGCCTGTCCTCTAGGACGTCACGGCCAAGGGCACACTCACTCCCGGCGGACAGAGGACGGGCAGCCACCACACAGGTGGCATAGTCAGCGACACCGGCAGTAAGAGCTGAGAGAGACGAGGGAGAGGCACAAGGGTCCGTGACAAGAGAGGCGAGAACACGAGAGAACATAGGACGAGCAGTACGGTAGTAGTCAGAGATAGGGGTAGAGGAGACAGGAAGAGACGACTCAGGTTGAGACGGGAGAACAGACATAGGCAAAGAACGACGGCGACTAGAACAAAGGAAGGCAGTGCGGAGGTCGTCAACAGGAGATGAGGGACGAGCACGCGGGGGACAGTGAACGGTCGAGTCGTGCGGGACAACATGAGGAGGCGGCTGTGAACGAGGAGGAGAGACAACAGCTGGGGACGAGTCCGGAGGAGGAAGACCATAAGCACTAGGAGGCGGTGAGTGGTCTGGAGAGGAGGAAGGGAGACCAAGGGCCCGAAGGCCACTCACAGGTGGGAACAACTGCTGCAAATGTGACTGCTGCGGCTGCTGGTGTTGCGGTCGCTGCTGCTGCTGCTGCAGCCTCTGCTGCTGTAGCTCCTGCTGCTGCAACTCCTGCTGTTGCAACTCCTGCTGCCGTCTCTCCAGCTCCAACCTCTCCTGCTCCAACCCCGACCTCTCTGTCACACTATATTTTATATAGTTTATCTAGTTGTAGTCTAGGTGTTCCTGTTTTCCATAGGTTAGGTTTATATTCCCTTGTACTTTCACTTTCTAGTCATTCTCTTATCTTAACATGGTATAGAGCGAGGTTTACCCTAGCTAGGGTTTCCCCTAGCGTTTTTCACTCGATAGATTAAGGGCCCACCAAAATTGCTAGTGCACGCCCCGTCCTAAAGCGCGCCTCATAGCTCGTCGCCCGTAGCGCGCCCGTCAGTGCACCTGGGCTTGTAGCTACACAAGGACCTAGACTAGAAGCACAAGCACCTACACTAGCAACAGGCAAAGAACCTAAACTACGAACACGTGAGCAAACGGATCCGGCAGCACTATAGTCCATATCGGCATACATCACAGAAATAGAGTCCAAAGCCTCAACTGACTCTAACGCAGACAGGTCCCACAAAGCAAGTCTACGAGAGTGAGCAAGCGGACCCCAGTCCGGAGCAAGCCAAGGCCGTACTGTGCGCGGACGCGGTCAGTGAGCTGCGCAAAGCACTGACCCAGAGCGTGGAAACGGCCACAGCGATGACCCGCACGACCGCCTGTCTGAAGCACGTATGGAAGGGAGGCGGAGTGACACTACGCGACGCCGAGCTGGGCGGACCACCGCCACGACCAGCGCTTACTGGTCCACCAGGTGCCCACTGCTGTGGCTCTGCTTCACCTGCCGCTGAACCTGCTGCTGCGGCTGTCCCTTGCTGCTGGGGCTGCTGCCGTCGATGTGCCGTGTACCACGCGACTGCACTGGCACCCCCTCCCGTCGGGCCCGCAGACCCATGTCCGCCTCCTGTGTCGCCTCCACTAGACGCAATAGTGTCACTAGGGCCTCCGCCACCACCGCCACCAGCGCCACCACCCTTCCCCCCTTTCATACCTCCCCTACCCCTGTACCGCCCACCCGCGGTGGACACGGCTGCAGTCTCGTCAGTAGCAGGAGACTCAGTAGAGGCAAGAGAATCAGTGAAGGCGGGAAGCTGTGGGACAGTGCACCCCTGAAAGAGTGGGGGAACTACGGTGCCAGAGGCGGAGGCAGCGGAGCGGACATTGCTCTCGATGTCCAAGAGAGTTGTCTCAATGACATCGATAGTGATCGCACTAGGGTGCTTCCGAAGAAGCGCGTCACGAACGGGTGCAAGGCGGTCAGGGAGGCTAGTGACGATGAAGTGAATAGTGATCGGCATGGGCGGGGGGAGTAGTGCAAGCCCAGCCTCAGTACAAGCAGCACGGTAGCTGACGTCTAGGGAGCGCAGGTGGGTGATAAGATCAGCAGTGCGGTCAAACGCTCCTAGGTTGGGAAAGAGAAACGGCAGAAAGAGGCGACCAAGAGACGCGGAGGTGGGAGTGGAATAACGTGTCTTAATTGCAGCGAGCAGGTCCTTGGCAAATTGAGCCTGAGAGAAGTGAGCCTCCTTAGTCTCAGAGAGAAGGCTAGCAAGGGCAATGCAAGCCGCAGCGTCACACGACTACCACACCGAACGAGATGTATGGGCCTTGTCGAAGCGCGCCTGGGCCGCCTCATCAGGCTTAGCAGCCAGGGCAGCAGAGGGGGGAGGCTCAGGCAGGTCACCGGAGGCGTGCGGCCAGATAAGTAAGCCTCCTCAGTCTGAGAGAGAAGGCTGGCAAGGGCAATGCAAGCCGCACCGTCACACGACTGCCACACCGAACGAGCTATATGGGCCTTGTCGAAGCGCGCCTGGGCCGCCTCATCAGGCTCAGCACCCAAGGCATCAAGGGGGGGGAGGCTCAAGCAGGTCACCGGAGGCGTGCGCTCAGAGTGTATCATTGGTCCTGGCACTAACTCTTGAGGAACCGCTCAGCACGGATGAGCCAGGAGGGGAACTATAGGGCTCTAACCTCAGCATCAAAGCGCAGTATGCGAGGGGCCGCCATAACGAGGGAACTACCGGCCTAGAAGTGTAGGCAAGAAGTGGCCGGAGCTAGAAACGAGCGAGGCAAGGAACGAACGAGGCCAGAGGGGTGAGGCTAGGAACACTACTCAAAACTCGAGGCCGAGCCTAAGTCAC